TTAACAAAAATGAATTATTTCACTTATAAATTTCATACTTCTAAGGTTTCAAGGCATAGATATTTTGAAGGGAGTTTTAGATATTTAATCTTAAACTTCAGTCCAAACACCTGTTCCAATTTCTTTATAAAATGTTTATTTTCTACTCAGATCAGTCAAATCCATCTTTTTTTTTTCACTGTCCTTGCACTAGTATTTGCTAGTTATTTTTTGGATGGTTTCAGTGGCATGAACCAACTCATGTTTTTTCTTAGAAATACCCACAAGAATTGCCTCTTCAGTGACTAAGAGTGATACTCCAACATCATTGTATGCAAAAAAATCCTTTCAAAACTATTTCTATATGACAATTAGTGAGATAACGGAACTTGTCATGCTACCTTCAATATCAGGTGCACTGACAACTCTTATAAAAAAAAAATCATTAGTACAAGTGTAAGAGATGTTTATGTAATAGAGAATCGGGTCAGCCCAATAAAAGACTCCGAGTTGGTTTTAAGTGGTGCGGCAATGAGTTGCATCCCCTTTGACAATGGGCTGTTGCAAGAAGACCTTCAATTTAGAGTAGGTGGCGCAGACTATTTGCATATGAACGATACTGGGCAGGCATTAGTCAGCATGGGTCTGGGACTGGGAGAGCTATATAACACATGCGGATGTACAAAAACCAGATAAGATGAACACAGTACAAGATAGCATAAATGCTGAACTTATCAAGTATAGTCCAGGGTCACCTTATCTGCAAATTGATAACGTGTTTCACATTTTGGTTGAAAAATATGGAATAATTTTACATAGATGTTTTTTTCTTACAAGGCTTAGCAAGAGCAAATGCATTTATTTTTTTTTTATCAAACTCAAGGAGCTGAGTTTTTCATTTCTAACCCTGATAACCTATCATCTACTTGTAGATCACAGATAATTTTTTTATTACTTTTAGTTTGTTGAAATTTATTTCAGCATTTGCAACAGTCGCAATGCATTGCACAAGATCAAGTAAGTGTCAAGTAAGTAATTCTGAAAAATGTAATCCAAAAAATTATGGCCATTCTGTAGCTTCCTTTTTCTGTTCCCAATCTCCAATTCTGATTGCAGAATTGAGGCAAATCTCTTGATCTCACGAGACAATTCTTCCAGTTCAAAATCTCCCATTTTTTTCATAAAATGGCACTGGTCATTCAGATATTCAGATTCCTACTATTCAATGCATTCAAAAGAGATTTTGAACAAAATCATAAATTTAATTCCACTGATTTCCGAGATAACTTTGGTCAACAAGGGAGATAAATAAGTCTTAGTAAAAACGTTTTTCAGATGTTTGAATTTCATTACAAGACTTATAATCAAGTAAACATTTTTAACATGCTTGTGGCTCAAGCTTTTCCGCAATGCCATTTTTTCAGCAATTTCATACACTGTCAACATAACAGAGGCATAGCCATTTTTACGGTAAAGTCTAAGTCGTATAAATCTCAGCAAACATATCTGTTGTAACAATTTACTCAATTTGTTCACCTGAAACAGAACATTCTACCAAATGATGATATTAAACACTGTGGCATAAGAAAGACAAAGTAGCAAGTGCTGAGAGAGCTAATTTCATCATTCAAAGGGGATATAACATGGCCATTACATCAAAGAAAGTGTTATAGAGTGGTTTCACAGTGGAGGCTTGTATTTCACTAAGTCGGTCCTAAAATAGGTTCGACATACAAAACATTAGGAACTTGATATAATAGTTAATGACGCAGCAATCTAGTTGTGGTGGCTGATACTTTAATATCCGACTAACAGTCGTCCGACATCGACTGACTGACCAACACACTGAGTGACTTTTTGAGCGACTGCTACTACTCCTACTTATTATAGGTGAGAGAGTCTATTAACAATAGAATAGGTGTGTTCCAGTATAACAGAAAGGAAAAAGCCTAATGGCCCATTCTGACCAATTACAACCCAGAATTGAAGAGGAAGACATTGTGATGGAAGAAGACCTTGACAGAAAAGGAAGGATGATTTATTCAGATGAGTATAATGTAATAGGAGGCTAGTCAATGGATGATAGCAAGAGTGACTCAGACACGGAAAAAGATAAAATGAGACTAAGATCTTCATTTAAAAGAACAGGACATAAAACTTGAGGAGGAGAGGCTGAAAGAGGTTGTAGAACAACCTATTACCATATATTAAGGAGATATAAAGTGTATAGTAAAGTAAAGAGACAGGCAGATCTTGACTACTGATTATGTAGAACAACACAATACAACAAACAAAAATTTATAGTAATCTTGTCCAGCATTGCTGTTGCAACATCTCTTTTCCAAAGACATTTCTTGCAGGTTGATAAGAACATTTCTAATCATTTTAAAAATGATAGTGCAGTTGTTTGACAGCACTGATCTGTGAAACCCATCTTGTAATGAACTGTGCTTTTACAGAAATAGATACATTTTCTAATAGTATCATTTTTCAACAAAAGATTGAAGCAGAAAATAACATATATAAATGGTTAACTACACCAAAGAATTAAGAGAAATCACTGATGACTGTGCACTATCCAAAAAAAAAAAAAAAAAAAAATTTAAAGTATGGACATTACATGGAACAAATAAAGTGATTTTAACTGACCACCTTTGTATTTGCCTGCCAAAACATTTTGGTTAAAATCACCTTGAATAATTTGCTCAATGACTGCTTGAAAGCATTTTAACATAAATCATTAAAAGACTTAGTCATTTAAAAGCATCCTTAATAAAGTATGAAAGAAAATAACTAAGTGGCATCTGTCCTACTTTGCACTTTAAGTGTGGTTGTTTTCTGTAAGAATTAGAGTTAATAATCGACAATTCAAACAATTCAAGTTTAACAAATAAAAACAAATTTTATATAAGAATATGAAACAAAGTCACAAGGGGTTGAATTTTATGAAAGTATTTTGAATACTTTTAGAGGAAATGATGCCTTTTTGAGAGTCCTTATAGAAAAAAAAGTTCAGTTTTTCCTAGATTACGCCATAACCATGAAAATGCTAAAAAATAACAAATGCTGTATACAAAATAAATTAATCGAACATTATATAAAATTAGAGTTACAAACAACAATTTGTGATTAGAGAATGTCAATCCAGTTTGGAATGATTGAAGAAAGTATTGTTTTTGGGGTTTTCAATTTTTTGTTCTTTTTGTAAAATATGTTATAATGGAAAAAAAAAATTTAAAAGTTCTTTTACATGCTATTGTAGAAACTTCTCACTTGTAATGAAGGTCCTCTGTTCTTTAATGAGTGGCTATTTGATTGTTTTTTTTATGGCTTTTGAAGGGAATTTAAAGCCAGAAAATATTTTTGGATTGTAAGAACTTTTTGGCAATAATAATGATTTATTGATACAAGTCCTACTAATTAACTGGGAGCTAGGAGAGAAGAAATAGATTCATAACTTTCCCAAGGGTAATTGCATGTAAATCTTATTAAATCGCAAAATGAAAGTTGTCTTAAATGGCCACTCTTCTAGATCTTTTTGTACTAATGCTGATGTCCCCCAAGTCTCTATCCTTTGGATCTACTTTGTTCTTAATTTTCATCACTGACCTTCCTGATGAGATAACCATTTACTTCTGTCTTGATTGTAAGTGATCAGTTTGATAAAGCCAAATTGGCAGATGATCTTAAAAATGACCTACAGTCTGTTGTTAACTGGGGCAAAGAATGGTTTGTTACTTTTAATGCCACCAAAACAAGTCTTCCCTCTATTAATCACCTGAAAGACTCCTTCCTTACTCTTGTCAGCAAGGATGATAAAAAACCTCCATGAGAATGACTTGTGCCTTCTAAGGCTAAAATTCTCTGCTAACATGAAGTGGAAAGACTATATTGAATCCATTGCTAGGTTTGTTGCTAAGAAAGTTGGTTCACTGTGTCGTGCTTCTGAATCTATCTTACATATTTATAAGTCTACCATTTTTCTTTGCTTTGAATATTGCTGCCATATGTGGTCTGATGCTCCAGCTGTAGATTTAAAGATTCTTGATAAAAACCAAAGAATCAGCAATATTATTAGTCTTGACTGGCATCTTGGCTTCAGTCATTTTCCCAATGCTATTAATGTAGCTTTCCTGTGATTTTTCTATAAATACTTTTATGGTAATTGTCTGGATGAACTCTTCACTATGGAACCTAGACTTTATGAATTTAAGAGCAGTACTAGATTGGCAGCAAGGTTTCACCAATTAACACTTGAATAGGCTAGATGTAACCTTGTTTTATAAGAGTAAGTGTTGTTGCCAACACTGTGGGTTGAAAGTAGATCACCAGTGAGTAACGTGGGTGATTCCATTATTAAGTAGATCACGTGATCATAAAGCAAGTGAATAAATAGGAAGTAACGTGATGACTATACAATCACTGTTCACTCTTGTCTATTAACTATTGCTATATGTTCACTCTCTGTACTCTACTACTATACTGATTACAATTCTCTTCTGATCATTATACTATTTGGCGATTACTACTTGAACAAGTATTACTAGTGCAGATATTATTGGAAGGTGTTACTACTAGTATCGGTGTCTACGAAATCTGGAATATAGCAAGCATTTTTTGAAGTGATAACAAGCTTTTGCCTGACATAGCAAAAGTGACAAGCGAAGCCATCCAACATCACAAAAAACCTTAAGTTCTATGCTAAAAATTTCCCCACCCCTGCACTTCTTGCTTGTGAAACTCTTCTGGCTCCCTGCTTTCCAGCCAACTTTGATCTTCAAAAATTTACATGAAATGTCAATTGTTATCTACCGCCTTCTTGATTACTCTTCTATTGTTCTCACTCCTTAATAATGTTTCTCTTTTGTTTTGTTCTTTAACACTGAGTAACCCTTATGTCTTAGTGGCTTTACTGCCTTGCATGGGGTGATATGATTAAAAAAAAAGTGAATATAACTAATCAGATTGGAACTAGAACTGGAACTAGGCTCTCCAATCTCCAATTCCAAGCTGTTATCCATTACCACACCTGCACATCCCAAGCGGTCACCCAACTAAGTACTGACCAGGCTTGATGTTGCCTAACTTCAGTGATTGTATGAGAACTGGTGCTTCAACATGATATAGCCATAAGCAGTGGCTATTTGGAATGAGTAGTCACAAGAATGAATTTTTTGGGAGTAAGTTTTGTCTTGAAGCATGTTGTTGGCCACTTTGTGTTGCACTGGACAAATGAAGAAATTTTCTGTGATCACTTTCATTTTTCTTTCTACTAATGTTTATCCTATACAAGGCCAAAGGGCCACTCAAGGTAGAGGGCCAATGAAGGTGGTAGTTGAGTGAAATGTAAGAGTAAGGGATTCGGTTTACACGGTATGTGTGAAAGATAAAAGGTAAACCCTAGACTTCAAAATGTTAAGAATTTAGTGGTTGGGAAAATATCCTCCTGGATCAAGCTATCCAAGTGGAACTTACTCCTTACTAAAAGAGTGTCAAGAGAAAGAGGGTGGTTTGCCTCAATGTACATAGTGTGGTAGGTCTTAGCTTGGAGGGCTAAAGTTGGGAGGAACAAAAGAATGAAGCTCATCTGAACATTTTCCATGGAAATAGCAATAGAGTAGTGAGAGGCTTAAAATGTTTCATCTGTGGGAAAGGGAGTGTAAGGTGGAAAACAATTGATCACCCACATGGCCGCATAGATGCTTTTGGACTCAAGACTGTAAAATCTAGCTCTTGTACCTGACTCCACATCTAGAATGCACTTAAATCCCAATAAGTGTTCACGTTAAGAGACATCTTTGAGAGAAACCCATTCAATATAATAAATGGAAATTCTGGGGCTGATCAGTGATAATGGAGCCTTACAAGTTTTTTTTTTTTTATCTACTGAATGTGACCAGCCAGTTTTTCCAGTAGCAGAATAGTTAAAGCTAGGTCAGAGAGATCAGCTGCTAGACTCTGGTCATCTAGATTTTTAGCAAGGGTGCACATATCTATCATTTCATAGATATTTACAAGAGGTTATAGTATGCTCTTGGGCAGATAATTAATATAAAACAGGAAGGGTATTGAACTGAGAAACAAACCTTTGTGAATGCCTGCATTAATCTCATGGGCTTTGGAGGATTGACTATTAACAATCATGGAAGGACTTGATAATTCAGATATCTCTTCCAGTGATTTCATAGCTGGAGAGCTTGTGTAGCAACCCCTAATCACACCTTATCAAATGCCTTCAATATATCTAATGTAAGTGTCTTTGTGTTTCTTGTCTAATGACTTGATGATTCTGTAAGTAATGACAGGATATCAGCAGTGGACAGAGCAAATTAAAATCAATATTGTTTAGGGGTTATTCCTGTTGAGGTGCTTGACAACTTTACTGATTATAGCCTCAAAGAATTTGCTAGGGACACTGAGGAGGTTGATGGGCTGATATTGAGATGAGTGCTCACCCACAGTCTTGAAACTGAGCACACAATTCTATAGCCTTGGGAAGGATTTCTCCTTTAGATAGTTGTTTACTGATTTTTTTAAGATTGTAGATAACTCAGGGCTAATATTCTTAAGGACAATTACTGGGATTTTATCTGGACTGGTAACTTTCTTAGAATCAAGGCTTTTGATACATCAGGTGACTTCCTGGGTTGTGGAGGTGAATTTAGGAAGGAGATAGTCCTTAAAAACATGGAGTTAGAGGCAAAGATCTTTGCAAAGAGCTTTACTTTATCTGATGAGGATGAGATAAATTTTGGGCCATTTATTATAGTAGGCACTAATGCTTTGCCTCTATTGAGGATTTAGTTAGAGATTTTTCAGAAATCACAGGATCCAAGTTGTTTGCTTTCAACGATGACTTGCATTGTCCATAGCTGCAATTTGCATTTTCTTGAATTATCTTGCAATGACTGAAGGCAATTCTGAATGCAGCAAGAGTCCAAATGCTTTCTGGTGAATGCTAAAGTCACCCCATAAATGCTAGCTGAGGGATGCTCAGAAAGGATAATGTAAATGTTCTCAAACATGGGAAATCAGAGTCTTTATTTTGGGAGTCTCTGCCACATGGGAACCTGTCCTTTATGTAGGTGCTGATTCCATGGCTATGGCAATTTCAAAAGTCATGTTTCACTGTTAAGTAACTCGGGATTGAAAGTTCCTGTACTGGGATAGATGGATTGATACCAGTTTGTGACCTCTAGAAGATAGAAATCCACCTCCAGGAAGTTGGAATGCATACCCCTCCTCCCATTGGTGTAAAAGATGGTGAATTTGGAGTCTACTCTTGCTTTTGTGAGGTTGGATTTTATTCTTTTGTCTGCTTTTTTTTGTACTCATGATTGGATAAGAGATATTGATACGGGTGAAGACAAGACATCAAAACAGTCACACCCACAGGTACTGTGTGCTTCAATGGCCTAGATTGAATTTTTAGAAGTACAGTTGTAACTGTACCCTTCATCATATCATTGAGAGGTCCCACTGGAGACTACTGTATAGTCCAGAACCCCTTCACAAAATGACAGTACAATAATCCCAATATGACACCTGTTGATACGATAACCCCCTCACAAGTTAAGGTTCAGATCCTTGACTAACAGGCAGATAACATCAACCCAGACAACAATACTTCTGGCAAGGAATAAATAATCCAGGAAAGAAGATAGTCATGATATGCTGAATGCACAGGTTTCATCTGCCCAGAAATCAAGGCAATAGAATTTTTTTTAAATAGGTTCAAGATTAACATAAAGAATACAGCTATGGTACACTGGAAACACGATAGAATAATTCAACTTTTCAAAGAAATTTAAACAAGAAAGCATTAAGAAAGAAAAGAAAATATAACTTTTCAGAATGTGTCAAAAGTTACCAATTGCTCAGTTAAAAGAATTCTTTGATATGTGGATGAGAACAATTAAAGATGGGGGTGATTACAAAGAGAAAATTTAATATTAGAAATAAGAATATTAAGAACTCATACACTAACCAGCAACTCTCTTTTAGCTGGTCAGTATATGTTTGGTGTTGGCAACCTGGTGATTGAGGAAAAGAAAATTTAACTACCCAAATTTATGACCCCCATTCCACTGAAGGCATGGGTAAGGAAAGGTTCAATATTAAAAACAAGAATACAGCTAAGGCACACTGGAAACATGATAGAATAATTTAACTTTTCAAAGAAATTTAAACAAGAATACAAAGAAAATAAAATATAACCTTTAAGTATGCATCAAAAATTACCAATTGCCCAGTTAGTGTAGCTTTACTGACTACAGATATGCATATTGCCTTTGTATATTTAATAACAGACAATTAAAATAAACTAATAAGAAATAAACTAAATAAAAATATGAAGCAGGAAGTGAAGTTAAGCTGTTAGCAAAAGAAAAATAAATCTGGTCTTTAGAATTGGACCAGCAGTTTTAATTTTCAAGGGAGATAATTCAAAAGAAATTACATGAATCCCCCAGGGTTTTTGTTGATTGATTTGATATCATTATGACTTTTCAATCCTTTGTAAGTGATTTAAAACTGAAAATATTGCAGCTTATAGGAGGTCGCTTACAGCACCAAGCATTCCCAAGTGGTCTCCCATCTAAGTATCGGAATCTCCCTTGGTAGGCAACACAATGCGAGCATTAAGATAGAAATCCTACCACAATCATTGTCAGTGATATATTTTACCTCAGCATTTTCCATGGCAAGTCACTGAATTATGGAAGTGAAAGTAATTAACCAAATAATAATAGGAGGAGAAAAAAAAAAATCAAAAGTTGAAATTTCATGTGTTTTTCCTATCTAACAAATTTATGGCAAAATTCAACATATATACATGAAAAAAATAAATAAAATAAAATAAAATAAAAATAAAAAATTGTGTCAAAAGGAGAGTTTTTATTATACCACTATTACTGTATAGTTCATTTCTGGATTTATGCCATCCCCTTTTTTTTTTTCTCAAGAATTGACAACAAAAAAATTAAATATTATTTTATTAGATTTTTTTATTTAAAAGGAATAATTTTTTGTATTTTTAAGTATATAATAATATGGGAACCTATTACAATTCAATATTTATTATTTATAATATTATAAAGAAATAATTAAAAAAAACAATTATTAAAAATGTCTATGAACAAGAAAATTTAAATAGGCATGTAACTATAATTATACATTTTGAAAAAATGCATTTTCAAAGCATTTCTTTTATTTGTTCTTGCCACATAAATTCAGTAAAATTGGTTGTGGGCACCTGGATTTATACATTTTTTTTCTCAAGAATTGACAACAAAAATGTTAAACACTATTTATTTATTTATTTTAAACATTTCATCCCAAGCAAGGTGCCACTAGCATGCAAGGGGTTACAATGAGTGAGAGCAAGAATAAAGAGGGGTTTTTTGAGGAAAGGATATAGAGAAGGACAAGAATCAGGATCAAGGCATCAGAAGATGTCAATTGACATTACACTTGAATATTTCAAGGTTATAGCTATCAAGGAAGCAAGTTTAAGGAAAGGAGTTCCACTGTTGGGAAGTGTGAGAAAAGAAGCTGTTGGAGTAGAAGAAGTGGTTACATTTAACTGTTTTGACAGTAAAATGGTGGGAATGAGATACCAACCAAGTAGCACATTTAAATTCATCAGAGCAGTTGCTTTTATTAGATTGTTTAATTACAAGAACAGTGTTTAATAGTTTTGTTGCCAATTCTCAAGAAAAAAAACAATGTATAAATCCAGTTTCATATGTTTGGGTTTTATTAAAATTCTAAAAATAGCTTTTTAAAACAATAAAAATTGCTAAAGGAGCATACAATAATAAATATTGCTGAGGGAGCATACAATAATAACAGTGTCAAGAGAAAAATCATCCTTTTTGATACAGACCATTTTTTGTGGATGCATATGTTAAACTTTGCCAAATTTTCACCATTCAAATCTTGTTTTTCAGGACATAAAATGACTAAATGAACAAAGAAATTTATATTTCTTTTTTCTCATAGAATTCTATTTTAAATGTTCCAGTGATTTCTGAATTCTTCATCACATGCACACACAGAGTTTTGAATAAAATAAAAATTAATGAAAAGCTCAAAGAGATAAAATTGGCTTATGAATGGATCACACATATTT